TATGTAATCTAAGTAGAAACTCAGAAGATTACTTTCCAAATACCAAAACATTGATATCCCTCGAATAAGAAATTAAACTGGGCTCATCTTTCGAGAGGAAAGCGACAATAGAATATAAACTAAAAGAATGCCAACAACGCACGTGTATGATCTAGCGCAATCACGAAGTTTCCCGCGCAGAATTCTATTGTGACATGTAAAATATATATAAAAAAAAGGAACTCACCATTACCATCTCAAAATGGAATAGGTGCTATGTGCGTGATATCATCAGGAAGTCAAGCGTCAGTTATAACTAGGTGTTATCCTAATGATGAGTGTTCTTTATCACAAGATTGAATTCAGCTCATCACAACCGGAAATTGAAAAATGGCAGAGATTAAACTAATCTTTATTACTAAAATATGTGTTACTCGCCATGAAACTGTGACTCGAAATAAGTTTTATTCTATGATAATTCTATGATAAGGAAGAGATATCTTTGGTGTAAAGTGATTATCCTTGTTTCGCCACTCATATGAAAATTAATTATCCTTATAAAAAAAATCTTTAGACTAAAACATATGTGGATATAGTGTGTTCAACACACATATGTATATATTATGTATGTGCTTTATGAAAATTTAGTTTACCATAGGTGAGATTAGGTTATAAAAGGTTAACTACAAATCACAATAATTTAGTTATAACTCTATATAATATTTATATTAATTTGTTTATCGCCAGGATCGAGCCCATAATTTTAGCGTTATAACCCCCCCCCCAAATTTACCGCTGAATCGTCAGGAGTGCTTTTATATTAACTTATATTTTGCAAGAAATACAAAATAAAATGGTTTATGATTTGCTAGCAGAAATGGAACGAATACAATGAATCCCAGTTTGCCCCTGAAGAAGAAAGGTCCAGAAAGCACTCTGGTTATAGGGTTTTTGAGTTATTTCTACAATGATGTAAAATAGTTTTGCTGTACGTTTCAAGTTTTGGAATAAAAGCGCATCATGTTAGAAGATCGTTCCACAAATATAAAAAAAAAATACAACGTCTTATTTTTGATATTAAAATCTTTAAAAGCTTGTGTTCAGATCACACCTCACCGTAGTTATGTTGCTGGCTTCTGTGAAGGATAACTGTGCACTTTAATAACGAAGTTTGCGTTCAGAATTTCTCAGTAATTTGCGACTAAAATTCTTTAAGAATATTACACAATCCTCGCCATATTTAGCATAGTAATCTGTTCCTGAACTCCATTTAAATTGAGGTAATCTTAGCTCGAGAGTAGAGTACAATCACAACTAAATTTGTATTTGTGAATTTTAAATCATGCTCTGTATATATTTTTATCTCAACTATTTTTTTATGATACCAAAATAGTAAAAGCCTCTGAAGTTGTTTATCTCTTTAATAATGTGAGTGCTTTTTTTTATTGAAGATTTGATTAGCTGATATCCAAGATTTTGTAACGGAAACAGTTGAAAAGGGGTAATCTGCTGTACTTTAAAGAGATACGCCTATTTTTTTTGTCATATTGAAAAATTTACGAATCCTTTCGAGAATTAAAACAACAACAACAAAAAAATTCAAATTCTCTAAATCAACAATAACTTTGAAATATATATTTTTTTATTAATAGAGCTAACAACCATACGATCTTTAAATAAAGATTTTATACAAATTGGAATTGGAAAAGAAAAATTAGCACAGTTCAGTGTGAAGACACGTTTACTTTAAATTTGGTGTTTTTTTTATGCATTTACCTAAATCTGGATAGTCATTTTTCGAAATGTTCATTTTATTTTTCCAGCCTGATCACCAATGATAAAATGTTTGCAAGTTCACAGTTTCATTAATTAAGGTGTATAGAAACAGATTAATGAAGTGAATTCTCATAGTTCTACAATGAATGGTTATCACGTGGAAATTCCGTTAATACTTGTACATATTCCTGTCGTAGAAAATGATACAGGAAAAGTGTCGTATACATATACTTATAATTAAATTAAATTAACGGGATAAAATATTTATAAGTAAAAATCTTCTCTCTCTTTTTACTTTGGTTAACAATGTAACGAAATTTTAAGTAAAAATCTTCTCTTTTTTTACATTGGTTAACAATGTAACGAAATTTTAAGTA